AATACCCTGGCTGTTCTTTTCAGCTGTGTTACTGAGGACGGGATGCAGGTTGGCCCCACTGAGAACATTTGCAAGGTGGTCTTCCAGCCTAGGGCTGCTAAATGTAGAACAATAAATACAGGGCACTCAGTCTCCAATTTGAGTTCTCCATGAGCAACATTTTTAAAGCATGTCACATATACTATTTGGGCAAAACTGATGCCCACTGGAGTTTTAAAACCACTGGATTAGAACCAGCCTGCCTTTAACTGAGTCTCTGCCATCTATTTTCCATGATATTAAGCACTTTATTTAACCTCTCTAACCTCCTCAGAACCAGATACTCCTCTGTCAAATGGTGATAATAGGACTCATATCATTGGAAGAATATTAAGCGAGTTTTGAAATAATTTTGTACGATTCCCAGACATATACGCTTGAAAGTCTTTGATAAATAAATATCTACCTACAAATTAAAAAAATATAACACTAGGGGGGTGTTATGCAAATATAGTTGTCTGTAATCCATCCTCAGAATAGAAAGAAGGTGAAAGGCTCATTCATCTATGCTTTTCTAGTCTGGCAAGGTCTAGAAGGGGATGAACCAAGCAGTCACACCTTCTCATAAGGCTAGAAGTTGATGAGTTCAGCCCTTCTCAAGACAGAAGGAATATCAGGAAGTATTTTTTTTAACCAAAAAGCAGGAATCCCAAGTCTGTGATCCAGAGTACAGAGGGTCATTTTCCAGTTTTCTCGGGCAAGGCTTTGAGAGTCCTTGCAATTGTGATGTTCTGCAACTTCTATCTGAGATCATGGCTGTGTGAACCACTTTTGAACACTTAGCTCAGCCTTAAAAATAGCGACCTACATTGTCAGAGCTATTTAAATCACTCCAGAAACTCATAACAACTGACTGAACTGGTTTGCAACTTTGTGCTTCACTCATCTATTGTTTGCAATAGGCTAAAACCATCCTGGACAAGATAGATCTTCCTACTTTATATGAAATGAGAGCAGCTATGAACAGTACAGGCATGGTTGCAGAAGTATTTGTGTTGAGATCATTGGTGGAAGTGTTCCATGATTTCCTCCTCTATGCCTGCCCCTAAGTCCTGCACCAAATCTTAATGGCAAATCTGCCACAGGAGAAAATAGGCTTTTGGAAATGCCTGCAGGCCTCTATAGTGATCTGACTTTCCTTAGAAGTAACTCAGTATCTGAAAAAGTGATGCTGCCAAAATAGACCTGTAGACCAATGGTACAGAATAGAAGACACAGATATAAACCCACATAAATACAGTTATCTCATACTAGACAAAGGTACCAAAAACATGCATTGGAGAAAAGATAGCCTCTTCAACAAATGGCACTGGGAGAACTAGAAATCCTTATGCAGCAAAATGAAAATAACCCTATCTCTCACCATGCACAAAACTAAACTCAAAGTGGATCAAGGACCTAGGAATTATTCCAGAGACCCTGAATCTAATAGAGGAAAAAGTAGGCCCAATCTTCATCATGTTGGTTTAGGCCCCAACTTCCTTAATAAGTTTCCTAAAGTGCAAGAAATAAAATCAAGAATTAATAAATGGGATGGACTCAAACTAAAAGGCTTCTACACAGCAAAAGAAACAATCAATGAGGTGAAGAGAGAGTTTACATTTTGGGAGCAAATTTTTGCCATACACACATTAGACAGAGCACTAATCTCAAGTATATATAAAGAACTCAAAAAACTCAACACCCAGAAAACAAACAACCCAATCAATAAATGGGCCAAGGAGCTGAACAGACACTTGTCAGAAGAAGATATACATTCTATAAACAAATATATGAAAAAATGTTCAACATATCTAGCAATTAGAGAAATGCAAATCAAAATTACTGTAAGATTTCATCTCATGCCAGTCAGATGGCAGATATCAAGAATACAGACAACCATAAATGTTGGTGAGGATGTGGGGGAAAAGGCACACTCATACATTGATGGTGGGACTGCAAATTGGTGCAATCAATCTGGAAAGAAGTATGGAGATTCCTTAGAAAACTTTGAATGGAACCACCATTTGACCAGTTATCCCACTCTTCAGTCTAAACTCAAAGGACATAAAATCAGCATACTATAGTAATGCAGCCACATCAATGTTCATAGCAGCTTAATTCACAGTAGCTAAACTGTGGAAGCAACCTAGATACCCTTCAATAGATGAATGGATAAAGAAACTGTGGTATATATACACAATGGAATATTACTCAGCATTAAAAGAGAATAAAATTATGGCACTTGCAGGTAAATGGATGGAGTTGGAGAATATCATGCTAAGTGAAGTAAGCCAATTCCCAAAAACCAAAGGTGGAATGTTCTCTCTGATAAGTGGATGCTGATGCATAATGGTGGGGAGTGGGAAAAATTGAGGAACTTTGATGGGGCAAAGGGGAGGGATGGGTTAGAAGGGAGAATGGGGACGAAATGGATGGAAGAATGAGATGGACATCATTACCCTAGGTACATGTATGACTGCATATATGGTGCGACTCTATATCATGTACAACTAGAGAAGTGAAAAGTTGTGATGCAATTATGTACAATGAATCAAATTGCATTCTGCTGTCATTATATACCTAATTAGAATTAATTAATTAATAAAAAAGAAAAATGGATGCTGTAGGGGAGAAGAATGTGAGATCAAGTTCTACATTCCTGACTCAGATTCAAATTTTGCCACTTACTATATTTGTGACCCTGGGCAAATTACTCTAAACTCCATACATTATTTTCATCATCTATCAAGTGGAGTTATTCTAACTCAACATTTCCATTCGGGGTGACTTTGCCTCAAAGAACACTTAGCAATGTCTGGAGATATTTTTAGTGGTCTCAAGTGGGGGAATGGAAATGTGTGCTTCTGGGGTTTAGTGGGTAGAGGCCAGGAATGCTGCTAAACATACTACATTGCATGAGACAGTTCCATGCACAAAAAAATGATCCAGCCAAAATGGTAATAGTGTCAAGTTGGATTATACCCTGCTTTGCTCACAGAGCTTTTTATGAGAAAGTAAGGTTGTGACTATACAAAGTTTAGCCCTGTATTTTGCAGAGTAGGGGCTCAATAAATATTACTTGAAAACAAGGAAAAAAGCATTCTCAATGTTTCCACTTAAATCCTAATTATGGTAAGCATCATGTGTCTTTATATCAGAAAGAACGAGTTAAAATCCCAGCTCTATCACTTAATAGCTTGGTCTTTCTGCATTTTGGTTTTATGTATAAAATGGAAATAACAATATCCAGATCACAATGATGCTATAAGACAAATGAGATATTCAAAGCCCTAAAGTACAAAGCTTGGCTTATTTATAACAGTCTCATCAAATGGTATATAAAAAGTAGTTGTAATAGTAATGAGAGTAACATTTGCATTTGACCTAACCGTTTAACCAGCATTTCTACATCCACACTTTCTTTTGATACTCACAGGCCTGCTTCAGAATGCGACAGGTACCTTCTTAAGCATTATTGTTTCTGTTTTAAATATGAAGAAGCTAAGAATCGGAGAGAATATATAACTTACACAATAGGGGCAGCAATCTACTTGGAAAGGAGACTAGATCCTTTAACAGACACTGTGCTTTCCATAGATTGTATTAGACACAGAAATGTGTGGAAGAGGCAAGAGCCCTACAGCCTAGGCAAGGCTCCTGCTAGAAAAATGTCCAGACTGAACCCTGGAGCTTCCTACTCCAAACTCCATATTTCTCACACCGTGTAGCAATTAAGTATAACACCAACATACAGGCTTTCTTAGATACTTCATAATATTTTGGAACCAGTAACCAGAATCAAGTTGTATTCTTTGAGACTCAGTGTTGGGAAGTGAATTATCATGTTCATTTCAGATATGAGAAAAACCAAAGCTATATAAACTCAATTATTCATCCTTGACATTGAATGACACTATACAAATCCAACAAATTAAAACATGACCCAGAATTTGATGATTCTTATTTTGTTGGACTCAAAGAGATTATTTTCAGAATGACCCTTGATTGTATAGTGTTACAAAATGAAAATCATTTTCTCATTTATTTTGCTCTAAATGGTGGTGGGGTCACAGGCCCTGAAACCCTAAAGATACCTAAAGGTATATTCAAATAGTATTTTGCATTTGCAAACTGATGGTGTTCTAGATATCTCCTGGGTTGACTGCAATGTGGATTAAAGTAAAGGAAGTAAAGAGGGAGTGAGGAAATTGAACCACAGTCAATGTTTCTGGGTGAATTTTAAAAGTTCCAAGTTTTTTCTGAAAATCATGTTCTTTTTGTGTCTAGCTTGGTATGCCCCATTGTAGTTAGAGAGGGGTCCTTGACATGATGTCCTGGGAGCCCTGTCCTATAAAATTTCTTGTCTCTATGAATCAGTAAGGAATTGATTTACCAGGTTCTAGTCAATCATGCTGACCACTCAAAGAAATGTTCTGAATTAAATTTCATTCTCTTATATCTCAGAACATAACTTTATTCTTTAAGTTAGACTTCAACAATGGTAGTAAAAATATTTTTTTCCTTATATGAGAGGTAACAACTGTCCATACCACCACCTTTATTAGCAGGTTTCGGTAGAGGTGCATATGAAGAAAGCTATGCCAATAGGGTAAATATAACTTCAAAGCCATACATACAGAAGAATAATCCCACCAACCATATTAAAGATTTCAGGACAGGCAAATACAGAAAAGGGAGAAGCAAACAGTTAAAAACTACTTTAAATACCAATGTCAAGCTTATTAAAGCAGACAGAAATATATTAATTACAAAATCATTTAGTCAAACAGAGATGTATTATGAGCCAAGATTTTAACTATGGTAAATGATATTTAAGTGTGTGTGTGTGTATATGTGTGTGTGAATCTGTGTAGTAGATATACTTATCCATATATATATATATATATATATATACACACACACACACATATATGTAAGTATGTGTGTGTATATATGTATGTATGCATGTGTGTATATATGTATGTATGTGTGTGTATATATATATATGTGTGTGTGTGTGTGTGTGTGTGTGTACACACACACACACACACACACACACACACACACACACACACACATACTGGGGATTGGACCCAGGGATTTGCTCATACTAAGCAAATGTGCAACCACTGAGTTACAAACTACCCCTGAATGTATATTTTAACAATCAAATTTAAACATGTTTTTGGTTTATTTTCATCTGCTTCATTATATGATTTATCAACCTACACAATAAAACTAATTTTGTGATGATACATCTGTGAGTTTCAGCACAACCCTCTCACAGCCTGTTGAATTAGTTATGTTTCCTAGTTAGGAATCAGGGAGAATTACTAGAAGTAATTCTGGGTTAACTGGCTCTCCTCCTCAAAGTTTGTACATATAAATTTAAGTCTCATTTTGTGTATGATCCTATGACAGATGACAGATGTCCTGAAGATCTGAGGTCATGTATCTAGGCTACCCAAACATCACACACAGGGGTTGCCCTTAAAAGTCAGATATAGCTCTGACTTAAATTACATTTTTTCAAAATGCATTTGTATCTTTTAGCTCATTGAATTCTTCAACTCTGTATACTTGGAAAGACAATTATAATTGGCCCTGTATTGTTGAGGAGAACAGAACAGCCAGGTTTCATTGCTCAAAGAACTAAATGTGGGAACAGTTGACAGATCAGGTCTTGATCTCCATTTGCTTGACTGCTGTTGCACCTGCTCATGAGTTCATAGTTGTGCCTCCCAAATAAACAAACAATTCCAAGTGGCTAACATGAACTGGGCACACACCCTGAGGAGGCAGTGACCATGTCTTCTTCATTTTTCCATGCTATTACTCAGAGTAATGCCAGGTACATAACTGATGCTCAAATGTAAATTGAAATAATAAATGAAATCAAGGTACATGAAGGTACTGGCACAGAATCTCAGGCATTAAAATTGTAGCCTTCTGCTTTCAGGTGGGTAAAAGCATGGGCATGGGGACAATGCCATTTGTTAATAACTACTGTTAGGCAGAACTATTTCAGGTATTTTCATGGGTTATTTCTTTTTATTCACAACGGCTCAGCAAGGAGGGTTGTTGACAACTCATTCAACAATAGAACACCATTTGGTCATTAAATCAAAGTTGTAGATGAAAACAGTCACAGGATGCATTGTTAAATGAACAAAGTTTTTATTAAAACAGTGTGCACAATATGATTAACTTTGCAAACAAACCAAAAACCTATACATAGACAGAGAAAAATGTTCTGGGAGGATGGGTCCATAGTGGCTATCACTGGGTTATAAGATTGTGATGTTTTAAAAATTGTCTGCTTTTTAATATATTATTTCCTATAATGAGCACGCATTATTTTTACCACTATAATTTCTTTTAAACAGTAGAAACTAGGAAAGGGCTATGACTCCCTGTGGATTCTTAGTGGAATCACTGGAGAAATTATAGAGAAGTAGTGGAACTTTGAAAACACACAGTTTTGGTGTGCCTGTATGGAAATGTGCATTGCCCTTTATTGCATCTTGACTATCTTCTATTTAGGAGTTTGTCCTTTAACCTAGGTATTCATTAGTATAGGAGGGATTAAATAAAGTGTTATAAAAGCAAACAATAGAATGCAATGCAGCTGTAAAATAAGAAAGGGATTTCTTTATGTAATGATATGGAAAGATTCTGAAGATATGCTAATTATATTTTTAAAAGGAAGATATAGGGGCTTGGGATATAGCTCAGTAGTAAGAAGACTTGGCTAGAATGTGCAAAGGCCTGGATTCAGTTCCAACTACAAGGAGAAGGAGGAGAAGGAGAAGGGGAAGGGGAAGGGGAAGGGGAGGGGAAAGTGGAAAGAGGAAGAGGAGAAGGAGGAAGGGGGAGGAGGGGGAGGAGGAGGAGGAGGAGGAGGAGGGAGGAGGAGGAGGGAGGAGGAGGAGGGAGGAGGAGAAATAGAGAGATGCCCAGTTTTCTACTATTTGTGCAAAAGCAAGGGATGAATCAGGGAGAAGAAATAAGGCCAAACCATGAAATCTTGATTCAGATAGTACTGCATTTGAACATTGGCTCTACTAATTAACATCCATATAAATTTATGTAGGTTCTCTTTTCTCATCAAAACATCAGTTTTCTTCTCTGAGTATTAGGGACAATACTAACCACCTTGTTGGATTGTTGTAAGGACCCCCAAAATTGGGTGATCAAATTTGGTTGCTATTGTTATTATTTGCACACATGTAACAAACATTGTCTAGTTTGTGCCACATGCTGTTCTAGGTGCTTGACATGTATCACTGAACAAAACAAAACATAGAACACCAAAACCCCTGATGCAGAAAATAAACACAATCACCGAGACCTTCTTTTCTAGATTAGTATTGTTCTAATTTTATATAACAATATTCTGCTGCTTTAAAACAATCTCACCTGACATCATTCTCTGGACACACATTTTCTATGTTCCTAACTCCATCCCTCAGTTCACATTATTTCCTTTGGCTAAAACATTCTCCTCATCCACACCAATTCCCCATACTTCTCCATCACTTCAAAATTGACCCATCTTCCTACACTCTTGTCAAAAACTATCACCTGCATAAAGTAGCTTCCAAATACCCCACAATTAGTACCTTGCTTTCTTATAGTCATGGGCAACTATTGTATGCACCTTTCTGGAAACATCTACTTTGTATAATTTCTAATAACTGTGTGTATTCAAGTTTTTCAAGATTATAAGCTTCTGGAGACGTCATAGCATTAAGAGAAACATCCCCATTTGATGCACTTAGTCAATTCTTAATAAACATTTATTTCTGAATATATTCATTGCAACTTGAACTCTTCTCATTAGCCTTACCACATTGAAGTAGCATGCTCTCTTTACTTATCTATTATATCCTCCAGCCAATTGGTATTTCATTAAGGACAAGAACAAGTCTTATCTTTATATGCCTGATATATTAAGCTGACACATAAATTGTCCTGTTAAGTTTGGTTTAACCAAGGAACACAAAATTGCACAGAAATATTTTTTTTGTCATTGTTTTTGGAAGGGTAACCTAAATACCTGGAATTACAACATATCCCTAGAACATTACTTGCTGTTAACAAATGATTGGGTGGATATATGTCTCTGCATGGTGAAAATGTACAGACAGACATGGGAACTCTCATGACTCCTAGGTTTCCAACCCTCTCCTTTGAGTTTGACAATGACCACCAAGTCTGTACTTTGAAATAAGTGGATCCAAAACCACTACTACTGTTTACATCAATGTTGAGTACAGCATTTAGTACCTGCAGACTGTTTAATAACAGTACCATTTGAACAAGTGAATGAATGAATAGCTCTCATTTGGGGGCATCCTTCAAAAGGAGTCATGTGACAATAAACAGGCAGGTCCAGGTTTTCAAAGCCAGCACTGTGCTCAACAGGTACTTGCTGCCTCATCATCCTAGGAGTTTTTGTTAAGATGAAATAGAAATTTGAAGGTTCCAAAACAAAATCAGTGTGTAAGTCTAAACCTAAATGATGTTATACTTTTAAGCCTTCATTAGTTTCCTTGATGTAAAGTTGCTTTCATTTCTCTACCTTAAGTAGGATGTGACTCTTCCCTGAAGATAAGCTTATTGTCCTGACCATGATTCCTTGTTTACCCTTTTTCATTTTTTTCCCTGGAAGTACTAGGCTGGAGACTGAATCCATAGGTTCTTTAATATTAAGCTACATCTCAGCTATTTAAAAATTATTTTTGAGATAGAGTCTCACTAAGTCACTGAGGCAGGCCTTGACCTTGTAATCCTCCTGCCTCAGCTTTCCGAGTTGCTGGGATTATAGGAGCACACTACCATACCTGGCCTGTTTACGCTTTTTATTTGGAGAAATTTTAATCATATAGAAAAGTTGAAATATGAGTCTAACAAACATCACTGTACTATTTACCCACACCAATGGTTCTCTGCAGGGGCAATTCTGCCCCCCAGTGATCTTTTGACATCTGCAGATGTTCTTGGCTGTCACTACTACCAGGGAGGAATGGCCTGCAGTGAGTACAGACTAGGGATGCTACTAAATATCCCACAATGTACAGATCAGCCTCAACACAAAGAATCACCCTGCCCTAAATATCAATAGTTCAGAGGATAAAAAACATTGACATCCTATACATCTCCTTGCCTAAGGGCTATAATGCAGACTCTTCCGAACACCTAGGTTTATCAATTGTTAATATGTCGCAACATTTATCTTTCTCCCCTCATTCCCTATCTCTGTTTGTGATTATAAATCTTTACTTGAAACATTTGATATTAAGTCATAGATACCATGACATGTTGCCCTCAAATTCTGCAGCATCAATCTCATAAAAAGACATTCTCCTTTAAAACCACAAAACAATATCACATTGAGTGTATTTAATGTTGATATAATAACATTATCTAATGTATAGTCCACATTCAGATCTCTCCAATTATCCTAATAGTGTCCTTTAAAAAAATCTTTGTTTGATTCAGTATCCATTAGGCTTTATGTTTTGCATTTACTTGTCCTGTCTCATTATTCAACTGTGTTTTCAAGATGCAAAGCTGTCACTGAAGCCAGAATTAGACAGGAAGTCAGTATAGATAGGTAATCAAGTCAGGTCAGATCAAAAAGTCCAATGTGAGTGAGTCCAGGAAGTTGGGGACTGCCCCCTGAGGGATTGATATACCTTCTGAGCCCTTCTCCACTCTATCAAGATAACCTGCCCCTGCACCAACCTGTTGCTAAGGTAACCTCTCCAAGGAATTGCCCCTCCCTATAGGGAGTTATAAAGTTGTTAATGTGTCATGGACTGCTTCATTCTGCCTTTCCCCTGTCCATCTGCTTCTCACCTTTTGGCCATCCCACTGAGCATCTCCTAGGCCTAGTCAAGTACACAGGAAAGAGAGAGATAAGGGGAAGAGAGCAGGAGAACAAAGGAAGCCTAGGACATATAAAAAGGCAGAACACCCTCACTTCTTGGGATACCAGCTATGGCCCCCTTCTCCCTCCTGGGAGAAATCTGTGTTACCCCTTTTTAAATAAATCTTGCTTTATATGCTTGCCTCAGTGTGCTTCTCTAATGTTATACTTCAAAATGTGAGGGAGCAGGACTCATCACCCATAACTGGTGGTATCATCAT